CAAAGAGTTATTAAATTTGTTACACAAAAATAATTAATCACAAAAACATAAAAAGAGACCGTAACCAATACCCAGACCCGACCCGACCCGATTTGAGAGCACCGGGTACCCAAACCCGGAAAAACCCGGTTAATTCAAAAATTACCCGACCGGGTCGGGTCATAACCCGAATGCCCACCCCTAATTCTAGTACATTCGACTCTCTTTCTCAAAGAAATAAAATATGATTTGTATTTGAATTTATTTTTATTTAGATTAAAAAAATTCATTTACTTTTTTTTATTTTTGTATTGGTTCAATTCCTTTTATCCTAAATGTCAGTCCATCAAATCTCTATTTATTCTAAGTTGTATGTTGATTTTTTTAACAAGTTTACGAAGTTATCTTCTTTTTTTCTTTTCTTTTCCTTTTGTTTTGGTAATTTTTAGTATTTTTCTAGTTAATAAGATTTTCAGTTAATAAGTATAAATAAGTAATTTAGGGCTTTCATAGAGCAATTTTTTTAATTTAATAAAAAAAGACTTAAGAGATTTCTTTATTTCCTGACGAATTTGAGAGTTCTTTTATTCTATAGAGTTCATTAATTATATTCACACCTATAGTGAATAATTGGTTTATATCAATATTTATTTATTTTGAGTTATTGTAAGTGAGGTTTATATTTAATATGTCACTTAGAATGAACAGTGAAATAATTGCGTGTGCGAATGGAACACTTCTCTGAACCTCACAGTTGATTGGAGGTGCATTAAATATTGTCATATAATTTAGACGACGCAGTGTCTCGCTCCCTCACACTTGACTAGCCCCTCGCCGTTTCTCTTGCCCGCCAGAGTTACACACTAATCTCTCTATGTGCGATACCTTGTGCGCGATGCCATCTTACGGGCCTCGCTTTCGTTTATGTGCTTTCTTAGATCGGACTAACTTAATGGACTTGATATGAATCAATAACTACCCTTAAATTGGCCCTTGAAATACTTCCTTTTATTTATTATAAATCGAGTTTCTGGAAAAAAAAAAAAATCGAGTTATATTGTAATCTTGTGTATACAATATTAAAATAAAATAAAATAAAAAAGTTGGTGAAAGATTATTGAGTTTCACCTGCAGAAAAATTCTTCTTTAAATTGTGAAAGAAGAATGGGACAAATGAATTGAGACAAGAAAAATGAGACCCACCACACAATTAATAATCATGAAATTTTGGAAGACTTTTGAAAGCTGATTGAAATTGAAATGCAATCGATTGTTGCATGGAATTCAGCACACATTATTTGCATTTTAGCCCCTCATCTTTATTTTCTTTAAACTTTCAACCTTTCCTTCATTCACATCTACTTATTGCTTTTATGAATATTTATTCCATAATCATCAGAGTGTTGGATCCTGTCTAGATATTATGATAAAATTAGAATTATTTATCACAAATCGAAAAATATAGTACAGAAGAACTTCGATAAATTAATACTCGATAAATTAACATTTTTAATATATATTTTTTTTAAATATTTTATTATTAAAAAATTATTTAAGAAAAATTCAAAATATGGTGTTGAAGTGATGATTGCTTTAGCATCTTTTGCAGGGAAGAGTGGTCTGAGTAGACAATTGCAGGTACCTATGGCTAAATAATTTTTTGGTGGATTTTTTTTTTTAATTTGTAATTTTTTTTTCCCTTTCGATTTTTTCGGGACCAAATATACATTAATTTTTTTACAGCATGTCGACGATATTACACAATAAAGAGTCGAGTCGAGTTGAATGCATATATAGTTATTATTTTACAAGTTTGTTTGAATTTTATCAATTTTTAAAATTGGGCTTGAGCTTAATTTTAAAAGCTTTAATCAAGATAAAAATATAGCTCCAATAACTTAATTTTGTGTCTTGTAAAAAGCAAAAAAAAACAATTTTTTTTTACTATATATTTTATCCTTTAAAAAATAAAATAATGAGTCAACGGTTGGTAATTAATTAATGGGCTAAATACAGTTTGCACCCTTAAAGTATATGGGTGGTAACACTTACCCCCTTAAAGTTACGAATGTAACACTTACGCCCCTCATTATGAATTTAAAGGAAAACTTTGACTTTGAATAATG